AAAAAAAAAATATTCAAGTAAGTAATTAACATACGAATTTCAATATTAAAAACTTGAAAGAAATAATAGTAATTTACTGATAAATTTATTGATAATTTATACAATAATAATAATAATAATCTACACTAATCTCAAATAAAACAATAAAACTTTGTATAAAAAAATACAAAAATATCAATTACCTTTGTCAACGGGACCGTAATGCTGTGGAGGCAATGAAGGCAGTTAAAGCTGGATTTTGACATACCAAAAACGAAACTAAAGTTTTGTAAACTAAAATCCAAGGAAAAAATAAAGAAAGACAAAAAAAAAAAAAAAAAAAAAAAAAAAAAAAACAGAGAGTGCTGCAACTTACAAAAGGCAGGATGGAGGTGCGTGGAGGCTTAGAGGTGATGGATCTTGCACCAAAATGCACGGATCTACAAAGAAATCTGCAAATGCCCAAATGTAAATCAAAGGAAAAAAAAAAAAAGAAACAGCTTTAGAGATCTGCGCAAAGAGGGCCCAACTCACCGACTTAGAGCAGCAGGGGGCTCGATGGCAACAAGACAAAATCTGGCGGCACCGGCAAGAATAGGGCCGGAGAAAATGAACCAAATCAGCCGCAGGGGAAGAAGAAGAAATGGGGGAAAGACAAGCGGAGGGGGGGTTAAAGTCAAGTATATTCGACAGCATTGCTGTCGAATACACAGGGGAAACGACGACGTTTCTCATATATTCGATAGCATTGCTGTCGAATATATAAAAACATAATCGACTGCCTGTTGGCTGTCGATTATATATATTCGACAGAATATTTGTCGAATAAATTGTTTGTCGATTATGCACCAAAAATCGATTATCATCGACAATCAATCTTATTCGACAGTGATGGTGTCGAATATGGTTTTTTTTTTTTTTTTTTGTCAACTGTTTTGACCAAAATAGGTATTTAGGTCTTCTTTTTATTGCTCTAGTTCTTGCTTTTTTTTGTTTTCTCTTCTTTTTTTACTTAATTGTTTCAAACTTTTGATCTACTATTTATATAAATAATATTATATAAAATTTTTACCAGTTAATTAGTTCTATATTCTAAATATATAAAAAAATATATAATTGAAACATATAAATATAAAAACATAACCTAATATCATAATTAAAGTGTCATGAGATAGAATACACATTAAAACATTATGT